AAGGACGGTGAGAAAGGAAGTGAGGAGAGAGATGAGGTTTTCAGTAAAGACAGGTCAAAGCGTGAGGAAGGGGAGGACGGTCATGCAAAAAGAATCAATTTACTTAAAATTCTCCGCTTAGAGCGACTGAAGCAGAGCCTCTCCAAGCATGACAGGACGGACAGTGACAGTGAGACGTGTAGCAGCCAGGAAAGTTCAGAGGAACTGGTGGGTGGTCAAGGGAGGAAAGAAAGATGGTTTGGCCGTCTCGGCAGGACCTTCTCTAAAGGAGACCCCAAGGACGGCAAAACAAAAGCAACGGAGGAAGAAAAACATGAAGAGCCTGAGAGAATATCGCCTGAGCCCGGAGGCAGCACCATGGAGGTGGGAGAGGGGAAAGCTGTGGAGGAGAGCGAGGGAAAAGCGGAGAAATTAGCCGTCTCCAACGTCCTGAAACAGTCGGCCGCCTTCTCCCAAGAGCCAAGCGTGACGGACGATGGGCAAGTGGATTCGGCTCCCATCCAAACGAACTGGCGAGCTCGAAAGACTCGTCGAGCCCGCAGAATCACGAGAGGCAGACAGACATGTCAAGGGAGGGACGGTGATGGGGGCCAATGAAGACGACGTTCATGGATGAGAAAGAACAGACTCGAGTGGTGATGTACCATCTGAATTTTAAGTGACTGATTTTTATTTGGTGAATTGGTGTTTTGTAAAGTGTCTGTTCCATTTTCTGACAATGGATCTGCTGAAACAGCAACGAGAGTCATTGTGGACATTTGACTCAAGCTGAAGCTGAAGGTTCTCTTATTTATTGTCTTTGCTTTTTCTGTGTTGGGCCAGAATTTTTCTGAACTGTTTTCTGAAAGGTAAATGGAGTTGGCTTTTTGGAATTTTTTGAGGGGATACAGAATTGGATTCCCAGCAAGGCCACAATTTGACACATTCTTGAAAATTCTTTGAAATCTTAATTCTTAAGGTTGCACTCTTTCAGTCACTCTCTTCTGATTGAGCTTCCCTCAAGCCCAATGTGGTAGTTTTCCATTTCTTCCTTCCAACTCACAGCACGTTGGTGTATTTGGGGACTTTCTCACTGTTGGTCAAGTGGCTTGTGAATGCAAGATTATGGACGGTTATTTTTTTGGCACTTGTTTGGTGGTGGATAGCTTGAGGTGAAGACGTCGGGCTTACTCAGGCTGCAGTGTCCTGGTCTTTCTTGCTTTGCTCTGTCTGCCTTCAGCCTGTTCCTTTTTAGGGTGGCTGCATGTTTAAGGAATCCAAGACCTCAAAACAAATGTAAGAGCACTCTTTCATAAAATAAGTAGGGAACATTTCTTCAGTGATTGCAGCTTGTACTGCACACTGTTCAAATGTATGTGCTCGACAGAATGAACGCAGGTTATTTTATGTTGAGAACATTTCAGGCAAAACCATTTTAAAGTAGAACTAAGGACTTCATTTTGGTAGATTACATTTAAGGCTTTTTCAGGCTCTGCGGACATCCTGCTTTTTAAATGGAAACCACAACGTCAACTATCAACACGACAGGGCAGGAGAAGTGAGTCAGTTGTTAAATTTATTCAAATCCTATAAAAACAGGTAACCTTTGTTCGAGCTGACCGCATCGGAAGACCAGAACAACAACAAATCGGTGACACAGAAGAGGTGGAAAAATGACAGCTTGTACAGGCAGTTCTGCATTTCACTTGGAACATTTCTCAGCATGTTGCACTTTTTATTCTGTTAACGTGTTTGGTCGCCATCATGCAGATTGCAGTGATATTGAAGCCAGTTTGTTGATTTTTATTTGAACGTGTGTGTGTGGTCATTTTTTTTCATCCACCTTTTAACATTTCCATGCTGTTATTTGAGTTTCATTCCACGTGAACATGAAATAAACACCTTTTGGAATGTTTTACTCATTGTTTTGTCTCAGTCCCTCGTAGTTGGTCATAAAGTGTGGAAGTTGTGTTTATGCTGCGTCGCGGTTGGATGGACTGGATGTGTCTGAATTGGTTCAAAGTGCGGTCGACGACATTCACCTTCCCGTTTGCTCTTCCCTTCTGCCTCTTTGCTTCTCACCTTTGTACCTTTTATAGTCTGCCTCTCATTCTGATTGGCTGGCACGGTTCCTACAAGGCAAAACTGGTCGGGCTGGTTATTTTGCGTGAACGATGTTTGCTCTCTTTGACTTCACGGTTATGTTATTTGACAGCATTACATCTAACTTGTTTTTGTATGATGTTTCTCGCCCCTCCCCCCAGACTGCCATGCTTGTTACCACCGCGTCTGCTTCAGGGCAACCAAGGACTGCCCCCGTTGTCAGAGGCTGGCTGAGCGCCGAGAGAGGATGGCACGCAGGAACATGGAGCAACAAGAGGATGAGGGCGGTGGAACGTAGTGGGGAAACCACAGAGACAAGAAGTAGCAGAAGAGCACAATGTGACTGATTGTATTGCCTCCATTGCACCCGTTCAACCCCCCCGGCCATGTGCTTTGTCAAACTAACGGCTATTTGTCACGAGCACCGTTCACTCTAGCACTTAACACTGGAGAAAGTGTCCAATGTGAAAAAGGAGATTTGTGAGGAGTGCCGCCATGCCAGGTGAGATGTCGCAATTCTTCCACTAGAAAGGCAGGGTGTTGTGCAGCCACAATTGTTTGTTGTTTCATAAGCACTTAATTGTTTTCCCCTGCAGCAAAACATGCACGCAGCTTATAACCCAGGGTTAATATTTCTTTTTTTTTTTTTTTTTTAACTGACAAATCTTTCTTTTACATGCTTTCGGCATATTTTGGATTAGATGTTTTCTTTTAAAATTGATGAATTATTTTTTAAAAGAAGTTATAAAGTGTCTTTTTTTTTTTTTAAATAGTCCATAAACACCTGTGCCTCAAGACCAAAAAGAATGGCAGAGCTAGCTTGCCAAGCTAACTGTAGAGCTTGCTGTTAAAGATGGGGGAGAAGCCAACAGAAAAGGTACAACCACAACAGAACTCGCGGGAAGGCTAAAATTTTGGACAGAACTTTGCTGCATTCTCGACTGCCTGGAAGTAGGAAATATCCTTTTGTGGGGTGTTCCTGATGACAGTAAACAGCATGACATGACTGCCTCAATAAGCCTTTTGTTTAGCACGAAGATACATTAAAATGGATATAGTAAAAGCGTGTGGGTCTGCTGACAACCCCCCCCCCCCTTTTATTATTACTGTTTTAATGCCTGACACTCCTTGCAGGTTTTGGGGAATATCATATCATTAGGCAATGCTCAGACATGAGTTAAAACTAGGTCCAAACAAACACTAGCAGCGTGGCCAAAGCTCGGAAATTGTTTTATTCCATTTTGCATTGTGTGTTTTATCATTGGACTGACTTGATTGAGCGTGGATGTCTACCTGCTGTACTTTATGCACAAAGGTTTACACAAGCCTAATCAGCACTTACCTTTTTCTCCGAATGCCACTGAATCAACATTCCCAGAGAAATTCCAAATTATTGCACTGATGTGGTTTTTTTTTTTTTTTTTTGTGGGAGTGAGTATGGATATCACTTATGGGATTAGTTTCTGGTATTAATCAGAGCATTAATCTTCACTCTCCCATCACCGGTGTGCACAACACGTAGATGCTCTCCATCCCAAATGCACAATGTTATCAATTGACTCCAAATCTAAGCCTAAAAGGGCTTTTTGTTCAATGGGTTATTTCTTCAAAATTTTCAGTTTCTCCGTAAATCAAAACCATAACAGAAAATATGGGCACCTCACTATATATATATATATATATATATATATATATATATATATATATATATGTATATGTATATGTATATATATCTATATATAGGTATATAGATATATATAGATATAGATATATCTATCTTTATAGCTATATATACTGTATATACACACACACACACACACACACACACACACACACACACACACATCAATT